TCCATCATGTAAAATTCTCACATACATTTTTCTGCTCGTGTGGTGCCAAATTATGGCCTTTTGCACTGAAAGAAACACTATAGGAAATCTAGAATTTGATCAACAGGCTACTTTTTGTTTGCAAATCTCATGGTTTTTTTTAAATGGTCTCAATAGCTTTTTCCTTTTCAAAAATGCCACAAGCCAAATCATTTTTACTTCCCAAGCTCTCACGAGCAACATTTTATTTCAACATCAAAAATCCAGTCAGTGACTCTATAAGGTAGCTGTGCCGATGCATCTTGGTTATAATTTCTATGCACCAGTTAAGCATGGCAAGATATGGATAGTAACTTTCAATGAGTCACTGCGCCACGCTTAATTTCTACTTCTTTCTTGCTAACTAACATCGTTCACTATTTGTGTTAATCTGTTTTGGTAGCTTTGCTTTAAGGGCCAAATCCTGGTCCTAGTAAACTGGCAGAATTCCCAGTGGCTAGTGTGGCCAAGACTATTTCTCAGAACTGCACAACCCGCATGAAGGTCAATCATAGACCTGCATGAATGAAATTCCTGTTTCTTAACCTTTGGATTAACTCCTACATGTAATGTTGCACAGTCACATTTTCACTGGCTGTGTACAAGAGAGCATGAACTGTATAAATGCAATTGTATATTTACTCAATCTATGCATATTTGGAACTCTAGAGAGCCTGAATCAGTAAGGGTGGCATTGTCTCCTTGAAACTCTGAAAAGCTGTGTGTATTAACTGGTTTAATACTTTCACTTAGTGTCCTGCCACTGGTTACTGGGATATGGGGGTGGGGAGGAGATGGTCTTCACAAGTGTTAGCATAGCTGTAAAGTGACTCTAAAAATGGCAGTGTGGCCACTTCCTGGGTCCAGCATTTCCACAGCAATATGGCTCACTTTACAAGGTAAAAGGCAAATTATTTTCCCCACTTACTTACTGTTTTGCAGATGCTCAGTTGTTTCTCATTGCTCTCCAACAGGCAGGATGACCTCCACCCAGGTTTTCCCATTTGCTAGGCCTCCCTCCTCTGCTTCTCCAGCCATTGCTCTGAAACAAGTGTTAGCCTGCTCTTCTGTACCCCCTTGAGAGGGCAAGTTTCTTTGCAAAGTCTGGTCTGTGTACACAAAACCCCCCAGGAGTCATCCAATGGCTTTTTAGGTAACTCCTATAAAGGGAGATTAAAGCCACCTGATGAGTAGGAAGCCCCCACTAATCTACTCCAGTACCTCAGACAAGGAAAAGGGGGCGTGGTGACCTCCCTTCCCTCATTGAAATGTTGAATCCTTTCTTCTGCAGGGTCTGAGGCTGCCTCAGGTCAAACTCCTCCCCTTGCTGCGTGAGTTACAGCCCTGGACTACCTCAGGCAGAGCCTCTACCCTCACATTGGAATTCTCCCCCCTCCAGCCAAGTGGTTGGCTTGCCTGTCACAGCCCTGCAATTGGCTTTAGCTCCTGCCTCGCTCTTCTCAGGCAGCAGAGGTTTCTCACTAAACAGAAACGTCAAGGTCTGTAGAATGCTACCGCTAGACCCACATTCTATCTTCAACCTTCTCTTGCCAAGACATGAAGAGTGCTAGCTGTGCTGCTGGAGACACCTTCCTTTGTTTTGCTCTGAGCAAGGCAAGAGTCAAATTGGAGAAGCAGAGGAAGGAGTGGGAAAAATCTTGGCTGGTGATTTGGTCAGCGTAGGAGTGGAGGCGGGAAACCAACATCTGCACCGTGAGCCACAGCAAGGTTAGCCTGGGATCTGAAAGTCAAGCTGGTTTGACGCAGGTAGCACATCTCTACAACAAAGATGCTGCAGGCTCTATTACTCTTAAACCTGTGTCATCAACTGAGGCCTTACTCTCAGGCATGTAACCAAGAGTATCAACTGAGGAGTTTCACAGGTTGCTTTGCCATTGGAACATAATGCTGTGATGTGAATCAGAATGATGAGTCCAGTTCACTCTCCCCTACTTGGGCTGATTCTGCAGAGCAGCAGGAGGAGCACTGCTGAGCATGGAGACCATTTTTAGTCACTTTCAATATAGAGTCAAACTATGCACCTTCCTTTCTCGTTTACTGAGGCTTGTTTCAGCATGTGGGGTGTGTAGAATTACTCCCCTCAGTGCTTTTCAGACTTGTATATTAAAAAAGAGGGCAGGATTTGAACATTGATAGTCTTGTTCTGTGAGGAGCCCTACTTTAGCCCCTGCGCTAGCTATATGTAACTTGCACATTCCTCAATCTTTCCTTTGCATTTAGCAGCTGTAATGTTTTAAGAGATTTGTATATATTTATAATGAAAACATTTTATTCTTTGTACCTAAACTTCATTTTACTGTAGCTTTGAAATTAAGCAATGGTTTTTAATGAGACTGGGTGTGTTCATTTATTTCCCAATTAGATCTTTGTTCTTAGCAAAGGCGCCTTGTCCGTCACTGTACAGCTACATGGGTGTGGAAGAACACACAAGTAAAAAAATGGAACAATATGGTGAAAATCTTAAATGGCCAATGAGGAAACACATGGGTCCATATAGTTCAGTGTACAAATGGATGTACTAATGCCATTATTTTACCATGCTTGGGTATTTGACATAATTGCTTACAGGCAAATTACAACCTGGTAACAGGGTTAGGATAACTGTATGACAAGCTGCGATACCATCCTCACTTCATAAATGTTACGTAGTGTTCCTACAACTTTTTCTTTCCCCCTATATATAGCCTTCACAGGGTCCTACTTCAAATCACTCAGCTACAACCTGATCACTAGTTATATTTCTTGGGTTTTCACTCATTAACATCTAAGAGAAAATCAGGGCAAGGAGCAAGAAAAGAATAATAATTTTTGGTGCATTGCATCAGGGTATATAATGGCAGGGTTTGTGGACCTGGCTTAAATCAACTGCCAAACTATGTAACCTTGAAAATGTGTAAAATGCTATGGATAATTTAAAAGCTATTGGTTAAGAAAAATTGAGGCTCAGAGGCCTCAGACTTCTGTTTGATCATAAAATAGGTTGCAGAGCTGTTCAGTATCTCTATCTTCTGTGACACTTGTATATTACCTTCTGTGAAAGGATCCTCGTATTCTGCACGTCCATATATCACAGAAAGCCACAGCAGCTGTACAACTAGCAGGATTAGAGTCCTTGCATGCATTTTCTACACTGCAGATTTGTAGATCATCATTACCCCATACATGGGCACACCAAACCAGCCAACACTACCACTAAACAGGTAGAGCAGACATCTAGCTAGAGAACTCGCAGGCTTCCAAAGGAATTGAACCATGGGTGAAACACAGCAAGACAAAGTGGCTGTAACGTGAGTAAACACACTCGGGGGTGGGGGGGTGCGAAGGAAGCTGGGAATGGTTTAGCACTTGCACACCATCAGGTTAATTTTTAAAAAACCTTTAATCTACTAAATTAGCACCACTCCCCTCTCACTGACCACCTGTAATTCTGGTTCTCCCCAGACTCTGCACTGACAATTAACAGCATATGAGCAAAGAATGGAAACAGTCAAATAGATGCCCCATTCCATATTGCATAGCTATGATACACTTGTTCTTATGGTTATAGACCCTACACGATTACTTTTGAAAAACCTTATTTCCAATCTACATTTTAAAAATAGAATGAAAACATATTCCTAAGCCTCTGCTGCAAGCTGCGCATACTCAAATAAATTACAAACAGCAAATGAGGTAGTGAGTGTCCATTGACAAGTGGACCCTTTGATATAATCACCATAGACTCAAAATATGTTGCAGAAAAATCAGTTGTTGCCTGGCAACCAGAGCAGTTATTCACCTCAACTGGCCTATCTCTACAGTCCGCTTAGCTTTTTTTTTTTTTAAAGAGCAGTTAAGCTGCATCCACTTTAAACCCCAGCATGTGTGACGATGCACAAGTAATGGACACCTGCATTTCTTAACACACCACCTGCAAAAACAATAAAAAGCTGCAATCATCGACTGATTAACACTTCTGCTCTCCAGCTAAACTAGTTTTTGGGGACATTACTCCTTGTTTTAATTAATGAGGCAGTCATCAGTCTCAGCATGATGGAGAATGTTTTGACACCACCATTCCACACACATTAAGGGGTACACCTTCTACCACAGAGCACAGCTATTTTATTACAGAATTTCATGCACACAAATGGAATTTTCACCCTCAACAAAAAGACAGCTTTTTACTCAAAATTTGGCTAGAGTATTTTAGTCATCCATGGTTATTGTAGAGATTAACTCAGTAAATTGCCTAAACTCAATCAAAACTAGGCCCCTATGGCAGTAGCAGCAACCTCACATCCTGGCTCCTTGCCACTGGCTAGAAGTGGCAGAGTGGAATTTGTTAAGCAGTATAATAGCAAATGTAACTAATAATCACAGGATGTTCAGTCAGGTGATGACTGTGGAGACATGTAATATAAGGAATAAACAGATGACCTAAACTGCACATTAACAGTTTTTATTTGATGATACTGTGCATTTGGACTGAAAACCCAGAGGACTCGAAATACATTTGCATTTTCCTCTGAAGTCTTCCCACTGATTGCCAGATTAAATGTAGAGGTTCCTTCCATTTTACAAAACATTTTTAGACTAAAATGAAAAGCATAAACATGTTGGTGAAAGTGTATTACAAAAATGATTTTTCAAATCCAGAAAACAGTAACATCTCAGCCATATTCCTGTTATATTGGAACTGGCCACATGAATATTGGAAACAACCCTGTCTACAAAGAAGTCAGGCATAATTCTCATCTAGAACTACTGCTGATCATGAAGTAGGATGGTACATCAACATATTGCTTGCACACAGGAGAAAATAATATGTCCTAACTGGAAGGAAAATGGGGGAAGGGGGAACTCCTGAATATGCTTATGTGGATCATTTTCTTCCTATGTTGTTTAAGTCATGTCAAATTCAGGTCTGGAATGTTATTTGCCATCAGAAATTTTAAGATACACTTTACTGAACCTAAACATTTCAATCAGATTCTGTTTAATGACACCATTGGAACCAAACTTAGTTCAAATTATTGCACTTTGTTAGAACAGCTTTACCTTGTCCAAATCAATCGGTCATACTCTTAAGTGAAACTTAAAAATGAAAATACATTGAACTCTAATAAAAGCTCAGGATAAAGCTTCTATTTTATGGACTTGGCAACATGCCCTTCGTTAAAGATGACTTTGGAAAGGGTAATATTCATCAGGTCCTGGACTGCAGAGGGAGTCTTAGTGCCAGCTCTGTAAAATGACTCATGTCAGGTTGTTTGCTTTGCCTCTTGATGTATTCCAATGTTTTCACCTACAGAGGAAAGAGATATACAAATCTTTGTACTTTTTCTTGAATCAGATTTCTTGACAGCCATATGAAAGTTTTAGTAAAGAACTTCTCTGATTTTCACTTGGTTTCAATACTGCAGACCAATCCAGGCATAAACACCACACACACCTGACCCCAGAGCTGGCAGCCACAGGTGTTGCTCAACAAGTGTTATTTTTCAGGTCTGGACCATGCTGCTTCTCCACTAACCAGAAAGGCAGTTTCATTTGGAGTACAATTGTTCCTAGCACCAGCGTTTTCAGTGCTCTTCCATTCAGCAAATGCATGACATACTTATAAAAAATGCTGAGAAAGTTGCTAAGGCAGCCTAAGTATAAAAGGCCGGCTATTCAGCATCCTGTGAGCTGATGCTGCCTACTGTTCCTGGCTGGGTGCTAGTTTTGTAAAGTGGACCACTGGTCATAGCAAAAGAGACTAAAATCACACTCCATTTTACTTATAACCCGTCAGCCATGGGCCCAGGACACAAGTGAAAGGCTACCTCTGATTTCTGTTTTGAGCAGATGTTGATTCAAAAGTTGGCATTTATGTTATGTGCTCTCATATAAAATTGACAGTAAGTTGTTAGGATTCAGATACACAGAACATGTTATTTTTTCAATTCAAAACAATTTTAAAAGATTTAAATGAACATGTTTTTGTTGTAAGGAAATAAATCTAATAAAATGACTGATGCATGGCTAGAAAGGGTTAAACATCCTGCAAAATAAATAACTCACAGAAGACCTGTGGGGAGATAATATTTGTGTTGGTGTGTATTTACATATGTCTGAGTAGGGTCAACAATGTAATCAACAGTCCCTGTCTATGTTGTATTCCGATATCATTTAAATGAATTGTAAACACGGGATATCTCAGTATTCATCTCTCTTTGAAATGTACTGTGAATGGTGGAGGAAAAGGCAAATGGCCTTATGTTAATTCGTATAGCTAAGTACCGGTGATGGACTTCCTTCAAAGTCATCCTAATTACCTTTTGTTCCCCGAGGAAATTCCAACTTGTCAAAGAGGACATGAAATTCTATAAAAGATCCTTGGGTCCTGATTCTGTCATCTCAGATCTGCTTAAGTTTCGTTGGGGGAAGTCTGAGTCGCAAGACTGAGGTCCCAGTTAGGCTGATACACCCTGAATGTGATATTTGGACGTTGGACAATGACCTATGAACTGAATTCTAAAGGAACTCTCTGCAACCACAAAGCTCACCATCTCTGCCATGAATCTACAGCTAAATGAATTGAACTCATGTCTGTATGTATATTGATCTTTTTTAATAAATTTTAGTTCAGTTAATAAGAATTGGCAGTAGCATGTATTTGGGTAAGATCTGATACATTCATTAACCTGGGAGGTAATGTGTCTGATCCTTTGGGATTGGTAGAACCTTTTCTTTTATATGATGAAATGAATTTCTGTAAATCTTATCATGTTTGACGTGGGTACCTGAATGGAGGCCTGAGGCTTTAAGGGAACTGTGTTGTTTGGATTTCTGAGTAACCAGAAAGGTAATAAAGAAGCTGTTTTATGCTGGCTCGGTGAATCTAAGTATTGGAATATCCACCAGCTTTTTGGTGTTTGGCTGCCCCATTCTTTGCAGTTCACCCTAATTGAGTGACCATAGCTGGCTCCCCACTAGGACCCTGGTCACAGTGGCATAGTCGTGCTTGGATACACATTACCACAGGTTAATTAGGTTTTTGGATCAGAACCACATGCTTGTCAAAATTTAATTTTGATATTGGAGAGTTTAAGGATTAAAAATCAGTTACAGTGAGCGACCCACGATCAAGATCCTGACAGAAAAGTCTGGAAGAATTGTGCTTACAGAGAGGGTTGTATTTTAAGCAAAAGGCCCCAGAGCAGGAACTGAAAAATCTGTTAATTGCCAGTGATAAGGAAGCAGACCCAGCGAAAATGCTTGCAGTGAGAAATCAGAAGCTAGAAATTAAACAAAAGCAAAAAATAGCTGATATGGAAGGAGAAGCCGCTAAAAGAGAACGCCTGTGTTTTGAACATGAACAAAAAATGGCATATATTCAATTACAGGAACTAGAAGCTAAGGCAAAAGTGGACAGACTTAAGCTCCAACTCAAGAGAATAAAGGAACAACAGAAACTATATCATACTGAAAAACCAGTTCCTCTCAGCAACAAAGATGGGGATAGAATCTATCGAGTTTGTAACAATGTTGCTATGTTGTTTCACTCTAAGCAGTTGTCTGCGTGTAACCAGATTTACCCCAAACACTGCCACCTTTTATGTAAATACTTTTACTGTGAGCTCAAGTGAAGGTAACCCCATGACTTGTGCAGAGAACGTAAAAGTCAATGGTAAAAGCTGTTTAGGGCAAATTGCAGCTTCTAACATCCCTCTTGTTAAAACAGATCTTGTCAAAGAGGAAGATTTATTTACCAAATCAGAGTGTGAATATTGTAATCCTCTGAGTTTACTGTAAGTGTGCCTTTAATCAGAATCCATCTTGAATGGAATGGTGTTAAACATGAAGTTATAGCTGGTGTAAGGAAGTTATTGCCTAAGGATCTTTTGATTGGGGATGATATTAAAGCTTAGTTCAGTCAAGTTGATGACATAAACCAGTCACAGGAAAGAAATCCTGAACCTGTGTCTACTAGGGGCAAGGATTTGCCTATGGAGGGTTTTCCAAATGTTTGTAGGAGGAAGATAGTGGTTCATCTGTGCAAAGAAGCAGTGCATATGTGGAAAAAATTCCTAATTGTCTGCATTAGATAAGGCTCAGGAAGATGTTTCTCTAGAGCAAATTAAAGTTGGTGATCAGGTTAAAGCCCTAATTGAGGAAGAAAAGGGTACATTTTTTATGGGTGATGGAATGTTGGCTAGTAAAGCTTGGGAAAGTAAGCCTGACCCAGGTAAAAGTGATGTGCTTAAAGAAGCTTAGTGTGAGCTGAGGGGTGAAAACATTAGACACTATATGTGGAAAACAGCAGTTTCTCTGATAAGGGAGGAAAAGACAAAGAAAGTTTAGATGGCGTAGGCAGCCTTCTGAGCTGATAGCTTTGTCTAATTAACAGTTTGGGAAGGCAAGATTAGTGGAACATGAGTATCCCTATATCTTACCTGGTACCAGTGTGGAGAATTGTGACAGTGAAGGAAATATTCCTGTGTCTGTTAGGGGTAATGACTTGCCTATGAAGGGAGCTACCCCAATCTCCAAGCAATTGTCCATGAACAGCCATATGTGCTGGGACAAAGGAAAGGATATCCCAAGCTGTCTGTCTGTTAAAGGGGAATGTTTCTCCAGCTCTTTTCTGTCTGTAAAGCAGACAGAAGAAGCCTGTCAGCCTATGATGGTTGAAAATGTATCAGTTGACCCAGAGCTGATTCTGGATACAACTAAAGCCCAGGGAGGAAGTGGTCCTGAATTTGTGTCTGCTAGGGATGATGACATTGTAACTAGGTTGCATCCAGTTAATGTCATTCCAGTTCCTAACTGCCATAGTCTTTCTGAGGTATATAGATCCACTGACTTTGCTTTAGAAAGACCCAGTGTGGATAGCTTTGAAAAGGTTTCAAATGAAATAAAAATTGTTAGGGAATTTAAACAGCCCTATAAGCTTAATCAGCTTGTTGGGGAGACAATGTTGTTGGAACATGAACGTCTCCATGTTGATTCTTTAAGTAAGCAGTCTGTGACCCAGGTACTGAGGAAAGATCGGGTTACTGGGTTACAAGGATGCAGGGGAGAGCAGGCAAACTCATCTCTAGATATTTTGGATATGTCTTGTAGTCTCTTAGTGTACTTGACATCTGATTCCATGTGGAAGCAGAGGTTGGTAAGGGAAGAACAAAAAAACTTTGAGTCTAACATGCTAGTGAAAATGGATGGTATCTCTTTAAGACAGAGTCCAGACTGGGAATTCGTAAAGGTTGAGGATTTGAAAACTAGTAAACAAGCTAGTGTCTGTGTTGATGCAAATTACCTGACTGACTGGGGGGAGAATGCTAATGGCTATGGGCAAGTCTAAGAGGACGCACCCAGCCGCCAATAGATTCTGTTACACAAAAGAGTTCAGATTTTGACCATACTGGACAGGGAGGAAGGGAAGGATTAAACCTTGCAAATAAAAGCCACAGGTTAACCCTAAAATATCAAAACCCAAGGAAGTGGTTAAACTGAAAGCCTATGTTAAGGAAGACCGTGAGGTCAAGAAAAAGCTACAAAGATTCAAAATCGATATTGATCAAGTTGACCTAAAGAATGATTTGTCTAAACCAAAGGCTTGGCATGACAAAAATAATTGTAAATGTACACTTGTGATAAAACTAATGTTATTGCTAATGATTGTAACTAACTTGTTGCTGATACCAAAAACTGTAAAAATGTACATTGTGCAGGGTTTTTTTGAAAAACCCTTGAACATGTTGGGGGTGATACATAAGAACTCATTATGTTGTAAAAGCCTTCATGGTTATACTGTTTCATTACATGACAACACACTTTATGTTAAAAGGCCTGGAGATCCTGATATTTCACAGTTAGTGCCTGTATCTAATCTTGAAACAGTACACAGCAGAAAAACTACTACAAGCTTGAACTGTTGTGCAAAAGGGGAAACTGAGGTACAACACCTCACAGCTTTCATGACTGAATGCCAGAGTAAGTGCTCTTTGAAAAACATTAATGGCTATGTTAAGTTAACAGATAGACCAAACCCTGGAATCAGTAAAGTGTTTCACAAAGTATGGGTAAAGTTTTTGGCTGGGGCCAAAGCATGCATCAATAATTTGGCCTCACAAAGAATTCAGTATAAACACAGCTCATATCAATGTTGGAAGGTTGTTAAGGGGTATCCAGGAGCTCTAATTTTGCCCTTCCACACCAGTCTCACGTTGGGATGTGACGCATGGCTAGAAAGGGTTAAACATCCTGCAAAATAAATAACTCACAGAAGACGTGGGGAGATAATATTTGTGTTGGTGTGTATTTTCATATGTATGAGTAGGGTCGACAATGTAATCAACAGTCCCTGTCTATGTTGTATTCTGATATCATTTAAATGAATTATAAATACGGGATCTCTCAGTATTCATCTCTCTTTGAAATGTACTGTGAATGGTGGAGGAAAAGGCAAATGGCCTTATGTTAATTCGTATAGCTAAGTACCGGTGATGGACTTCCTTCAAAGTCATCCTAATTACCTTTTGTTCCCCGAGGAAATTCCAACTTGTCAAAGAGGACATGAAATTGTATAAAAGATCTTTGGGTCCTGATTCTGTCATCTCAGATCTGCTTAGGCTTCGTCAGGGGAAGTTTGAGTCGCAAGACTGAGGTCCCAGTTAGGCTGGTACGCCCTGAATATGAGATTTGGACATCGGACTATGACCTATGAACTGAATTCTAAAGAAACTCTTTGCAATCATGAAGCTCACCATCTCTGCCATGAATCTACACCTAAATGAATTGAACTCATGTCTGTATGTATATTGATCTTTTAACCATACTCTCTCTCTTTTGTTTTTTTTAATAAAATTTTAGTTTAGTTAATAAGAATTGGCTGTAGCGTGTATTTGGGTAAGATCTGAAACATTCATTAATCTGGGAGGTAATGTGTCCGATCCTTTGGGATTGGTAGAACCTTTTCTTTTATATGATGAAGTAAGATTTACAGAAATTTTCATCATATTTGATGTGGGTACCTGGATGGAGGCCTGAGGCTGGATCACTTTAAGGGAACTGTGTTGTTTGGACTTCTGAGTAACCAGTAAGGTAATGAAGAAGCTGTTTTATGCTGGCTTGGTGAATCTAAGTATTGGAATATCCACCAGTTTTTGGGGGTTTGGCTACCCCATTCTTTGCAGTTCACCCTAATTGAGTGACCACAGCTAGCTCCCCACTAAGACCCCAGTCACACTGACCCTTTCCACAAGTAGGAGTAAAAGGAAGGGCACTTAGAACTAATGCCAAAGATAGCACACTCCATTTCAGTCCATGTTATTCTTACCATGGTCTTGGTGTCAGCAAAGCCATGCTTCTGCGCCAGGTTCCAGAGATTGACTGAAAGCTGGTTTAGTTTGTTGTTCCGTAGATCTCCATGAGCTAAAATACTATTAAAGAAGTAGAGAGCCAGCTGGCTTTGGCGCTTCAGAGTCTACCATTAAAAAACAAAACAACAAACAATTATTCTACAGCCATCCTGAAGTTCTGATATATCATCAAAATATAGATATCCTGTAAATTATACACACAGTCTAGAGAATTTTACCAACAGCTAGATATATGCTCGTAACAAACAGGCCTAGCATTATCAATATCAGCAAGGACTTTGGGGCTAGTCCTCCATGCATTTGTCCTCAAAATAGGACAAATAAAAAAACCCCACCTGTCTACTCATTCAGCCCCATTCCAAAGCAGTGTGAGTTACAGAAGCTCCTACATCAGGTGTCAGTTTAGCTCAATGACTTGGTACATTTTTGTAATATTGTGTGTTCTGGATACCTGAACGGTTGTAGCTGTAAACACCACCACTACTGCATACTCGCAGTACTGACCGTGGGCACCTCTTCTGCCACCACACTGGCAGGGCTGTTTGAAAGGTTCTACTAGAACCCCGAACTTACCTGAGATCAGGGTGCCTTTAAGATAATATTAGGACTGGGACTATTTATAAGAGTCCAGCAGACTTGGGGTGATATGGATATAGGCTGACCTTCCTTTTAGCCCCTCACACCTAATGGCAGCTTCCACAGGGATCTCAGCACCATCCTCCCAGAGGTCCTCCCCACAGTTGCTTGCTGTCTCTTGAGGCCAGGAGGTTTCCCCCACTTTTTACAGTCAGGGAAATCCTACAAAGGATCTTTGGAACATAGGCAACCATGCACTAAACCTTATGGAGTGCTACTGGCCATGCTGCTTAGCTTACTAGTGGTTGCAATAGCAGTCAAATTGTGTTTTAGGGAATAAAAGGCAGAGGCAAGTAAGATATGCTACAGAACTGTGGCCCAACTGCCTCTGACCCTCTCCTCCCAAAAGCTTTCAAAGTGGGACTCTGTATCAGTATGCAGAAGACCAAGAGACAGGAGAGAATGCTGGCAGAGGTGAGATTGGTGGAGCAGAGTACAAGAGTTGGCAACTTTGTCTATCTTGGAAGTACAATATATGCTAGTGGCCAGCTCACTAAGAAAGTCAAAGCAAGAATGGTAAAGGCAGTAGATCATTTTCCTGTCTGTCAAACATTTGGAGGAGTGAGAAGATGAGACTGTACAATGCTATTGTCCTCCCAACATTATTGTTAGCCCTGGAAACATGACAGATTACTCCTCGGATCAGGTGAGGAGGCACGGGATATGGGGGTGGGGAAAAAAAGACAGATGGAGCGAGGGAGTTATTGCGTGGGGGGGTGTCACATAGTTCAGAAGGGCTAGTGGGGGGGACAAACTGGAGCAGGGGCTGAATGGAAGTGGGGGTGCAGGGACACGGGGACAGGAGAGAGGGGTGGCTGAGTGCGGGTGCAGGGACACATGGGGATAGGGCCTGATGTGCCTGACGGATTGGAAGAGGCTAGGGGTTAGCCAGGGTCTGCATGGGGGATGCTCCCCAACTCCCTAACAATCCCTCCACCCCCAAAAAAACCTGTTCCATACTTCTCCCACCCGCACCCAACAATCCACCTGGTTCACTCCCAGGCTCCTTCCGAGCAATTACTTCCTTCTCCCTCAGCTTCTCCATTACCCCTGACTCTCCAAACCTTTGCACTGCTTCTGAGGCATGCGGGAAATACTTTTCTGTATTGTAGTTTAAATGAATTACTCAAAGTCCTGTAGTAATATGCCTAGTAAGAAATCTATTTGTCAAAAAAAAACATTTCCTGAATCTTTTTTGTTGTCTGTATTGTTACAGACATACTTACTGACAGGTATTTTTAAATAAGTTACCAAAATAATTGAAACTGGCATGATTACATTGTCTTATTTTGACAAATAAAAGATGCAGAATTTTAAAATATTGTGCGCAGAATTTTTAGCTTTTTGGTGCAGCATTCCACCAGGAGTAGCAGATAGTGGAAATACATGACAGGAAGCTGTATATATTTCACCACCATTGTTTAAGAAGAATCTTGAGAATTCATTGGAGAAATTGTGTAACCAATGAGAAAGTGTTGTGCTGCACAGGTCCCCAGACTGTGGACTCAATAATTAGATAGAGACTGCTTTGTCAGCAGCCTACCCATAGCAGAAGCTCAAGGTATTTCAGAATGGATTCCACCCAGAGAAAAAAGAAGTCATGTAAGACAAAGAATGACCTATCGCAGGATAATTGAAAAGGATATTACCATCATGGAGACAACTTATGATGGAGTCACGTCTTGGTCTGGATAGACAGCAATGGAAAGAATGGGTTGTGCAGGAGATTCTAAGTCTCTTCCCAAGAGATACAGAAAAAGGGGAGAGGGCTTCCTTGCTCCAGAAGGCAGCGGGGAAGAACCCCTTGACAAGTTTTTTAAAAAATTAATTGCCAAAACGTATCAGATCTCTTATAGAACAACTTTCCACAGCTATACTACAGACCTCTTAGCATCACCACCAGCAGGGGGCAGGCATAATGGAAATGCTGACACCACTTGCACTGTTATTTATGCCTGTGCTGCTAGGCACTGCTATTATCAAAGGCCACGTCCGAGAGGAGGTATTTATTTACCATTGCTTTTCTAGAGCTGTGCTTTGTGTTCGGCTCACTTGGAAAAGAGACCGTTGATTAAAAGGCAGAGCCTCATCTACTACAGTAATTGAATCAATTGAAGAGCAGTTAGAAGCAGGTGCACAATCATGGTCAACCTCCCACATTAATTAACAAATTTCATACTTCACTTGAGCCCTCTCTAAATTCAGCCAGTAAATTCTATGGCCAGTATGCAGTATTGCTGTGGCAGTGAAACGAAATTAACGTTTCCTATCACGGCCAGCAGAACTAATTGCATATGCACGCTATCAAAAAGGAGATGGCATGGACCGAGCAGCTAAATAAGGACAAGAGAAGATACCCACCCCCACTGGAGGCAGTAGCACTTGATCATTAAGCATTTAGCGACCAACCTACAAACACTCCAACTCTTTCAAATCAGTGAGATTACTCATGGTAACAAGTACTAGCAAACATGTTAATAAAATGTAGGCTCAGACCTTCACTATTTTATCTATTTTTCTCCCACTTGCGACTGTGTCTTTTAATCATGGTGCCCCTTAGTTTGGGAGGCTCTCCCAAACCTAACATATGCCAAACTACCTTAGAAAACTTTGGACAACGGGTCTGTCAGTGAAGCATCTAACTATGAAGACAACAAGCCATTGTGTGGTTTGGGCCACTGCATTTTATTCATAAGTGCCTTTAGAATGTAAGCTCTGCACATACCGATTCTGTTCTTTATTTAGCATGTTCAGCTGCTACATACATAGGAAGATATTTTACAGAACTGACAAAAAAAAAAAACCCAAATTGGCAAGGTCATGTAGCATTAGGGTATTTAACTATCACACGGTTGTATATTTAAAGTCATCACATAGTACAAGTGGCTACTTTTCAATAGATTATTACTTTTATATTCTGAGGTGGTGCTTAGAATAGTAGATTGAAAACCCCTTTCTTAAAAACTTTTTATTACAAAAATTATGGGTCACTCAATGAGTATATAAATCCCCACTAGTGTTAATGGGAGTAATGTGCAGCAGTCACGGAGGAAATGCTTCCAGTTACATTCATATACTGTAGCACCTTTCATCCCAGTGGCTCCCAAAGCTCTTTACAGCCTTATGGTATGTCTATACTACCCGTCGGCTCGGCAGGCAGCGATCGATCCAGCGGGGGTCGATTTATCGCGTCTAATCTAGACGCGATAAATCGACCCCCAAGCACTCTCCCATCGACTCCGATACTCCACCGGAGCGAGAGGCACAGGCGGAGTCAATGGGGGAGCGTCAGCAGTCGACTCACCGCAGTGAAGACACCGCGGTGAGTAGATCTAAGTACGTCGACTTCAGCTACATTATTCATGTAGCTGAAGTTGCATAACTTAGATCGATTCCCGCCCCCCGCCACCGCCGCCCAGTGTAGACCAGGCCTCAGATTCAAGCATCATTTCATCCACTATTGAAATGTAGCCACCTCTGGACACAGACACGGTCCATCAGTCTGCCCCAGCAACACTATTCTAACAGGAAGCGCAGCAACATATCTAGCAAACTATCGGGAAACTATGAGTAGTTAGAAAGTAACTATCAGAGCTGAGATAAAGCCAGGACACTGCACTAGGACCAACACCTTTGGGCAAAATGAAAAAAAAAAGAAAGAATATGTGATGATGTGGCATGTCCGCATGCGTTTGAGATGGTAGAATAATGCGATGCAAAGCCTTTTTGCCACTCCACCATGTATTTTGTACTTGTAGATTTTAAAGAACTACTTCAGAAATGTTTAGAGTATTTAAATTATCTGGACTATTTTCCCCTTCCACCTTAGGTTAACCACTTGTGCCTATATATTTTTGCTTGAATCCAAACATAAAGCGAGACTGTTTGAAACTGCCTGCAGGTTTACGATAGTAATAATCCTAGTGGAGCTAGATTATTGAGCAGAGAGCAGGAGAGGTGGTCAAAGGTCTCTCCCCTGGATATCCCCACCACATTGTATTTCTATACAATATATATGCATGTGTACATGCCCACACTCTGTTTAACATTTTAAAAAACTTGGTAACATACAGCACACTTCAAAAAGGATGCAACACATTGAAGACAGAGTCAGAAGAAAGGGATGTACATTATTCACAGTATTTTGAGGTAAGCACACAGGTACAAGTAGGAGATGGGGATCCAATCATATGTTAGAAGTTGCAAAGTTAAGAGATGCACAGGCTCCAGAGAAGATGAAGTAAAGGCCACTATATAAAAAGGAACAAAACCGAGAGGCATGCAACACTCTGCATTATGATCAACAAGAATATTTGTGTAACATGGCACTGACCTCAAATCTGAGTGAGAAATCCATGTCAACATGCTGCCAACTCCACTGACATAACCAAGACTGAATTGTGGAGGGCGTTCCAACTCACGAGGATGTATTTATGGGCAGCAAACAGAAAGGAATAGATCAAGTTTC